CGGAGCCCAGCAGGTCGAGGTTGCGGTGGCCGGGAGCGGCCACTGCACTCCAGTCTGGGCGACTGAATGAGACTCCAACTCAAAAACAAAAAAACAAAAATCCAATAACTAGTAAAAACTTGCTTTGTGCTAGGCACTGTGCTAAGTGTTTTATGCATTTTATCATCTTAACAACCTACGAGGTAGGTACTTTTATTATTTCCATTTTATAGGAGAGGAGATGGAGAGAGCAAATCACTTGCTGGAGAGCACTAAGTGGCAAAACAGGAAATGGACTTCATCTCCATGCCTGTAATCTCTTTCTCTCCATTTTTTTTTTGTTTTTTTTTGTTTTTTTGAGTCAAGATTTCACTCTGTCACCCAGGCTGGAGTGCAGTGGCACAATCATGGCTCACCGCAGCCTCTACCTCCTGGGCTCAGGTGATCCTTTCACCATAGCCTCTTGAGTAGCTGAGACTACAGGCATGTGCCACCACACCTGAATAATTTTTTATTTTTTTGTGGCGACGATGTCTATGCTATATTGCCCAGGCTGGCCTCAAACTCCTGGGCTCAAGTGATCCTCCCACCTAGGCCTCCCAAAGTGCTGGGATTATAGGTATGAACTACCGTGCCTAGCTAACACCTATAATCACAAATCATCCACTTCACCACTACTGTCCTATCACCACTGCCACCATCCTTCTATGGCACTGGATGGGCAGCTCCCAGGACCCTATGAGGTAGGTACTAATTTCAGCCTCACTTTATTTTTATTATTATTATTTTTTGAGTCTGAGTCTTACTCTGTTGCCCAGGCTGGGGTATAGCAGCACAGCCACTGGGTCCTTGCCCAGGCTGGTCTCGAACCCCTGAGCTTAGGGCAATCCTCTCACCTCGGCCTCCCAAAGTGCTGGGATTACAGGCTTGAGCCACCAAGTCTGGTCCATTTTATTTATTTTTTATTTTTTTGAGTTGGCGTCTCACTCTATTGCCCAGGTTGGAGTCGAGTGGCATGGCCGCCGAAGCCTCAACCAGCTGGGCTCAGGCAATCCTTCCACCTTAGCCTTCCAAGTAGCTGGAACCACAGGTGTGCGCCACCATGCCTGGCTAATTTTTTGATTCATTGTAGAGAGGAAGTCTTGCCATGTCGCCCAGACTGGTCTCAAACCACTGGACTCTAGCAATTCTCTTACCTCCACCTCCCAAAGTGCTGGGATTACCGGCGTGAGCACACCCAGCCTCAGCCTCACTTTATAGATGAGGACAGAGGATATAAAGACAGGACACAGGGATAGTTAGTTGTGGAGACAGGATTAAAAGTAGTCTTCACTGCTTGGCTGCACTGTGTATGCATTAAAAATCTTAGAACGTGCTGTCTTCCTGCCTTGAAAACCCTTGGCGTGGCGGGGGAGATGCTTGCTCCCCTTGGTGATTCGCAGCCCCTAAGACACTGCTGGGGAGCCAGACGGGCCCACCTCATTCCCATTTAATAATTGCTACTGTGCTTTCACGGTGCATGTTTCATATAATTGATGCTCACTGAGCAATTTCGCATCCAGTCTGGCTTAGCCCGGTCCTCCTGAGAGCTGACACCTTGTTGCGTGGGTGGAAGTCCTGCCCAACCAGCCAAAAGCACCCTTCATGGGATGAGGTATGCTGTGGCAACTAGTGCCTAAGGGCGTCCAGTGACCACCCACCTTCTGCCTGCCCAGCAAAAAGCTCTCAGCCGAAAAGGAACCTCCCTTAGCCTCCAGGATGGAACTCAGGCTTCAGCCTCCCCTTCCTTTCTGTAGTCACTGGGACTTCTCTCTCCATCAGCCCTTCCTCCCTGCATAGCATCGAGAGGCTCTTGTTACTTTATCGGGGTCTGTGGACCAGTGGCATGGGCATCACGGGGGAGCCTGTTCGAAACTGTGAATCTCAGACCTCACCCCAGACCTGGATCAGAATCTGCAATTGAGCAAAGCCCCGGGGATGAGGAAGGGCACTGCAGTGGGAGGAGCGTGGGCTTAGACAATGTGGCCTCCCGGGCACCCCCTGTCCTTCCTTGACTCACTGCCCAGCCCCATCAGCCCCAGGAAAGGGAGCTTCTGTGGGGGGAAGGGAAGGGGAGAAGCAGGGAGGGGGAGGGGGAGAGGAGAGCCTGTTGAACCCCTGCAGGTGCAGCAGGTGGGAAAGCCAATCCGTGCACCTGCAGGCCTCATTAACCGCCCCTTCCCTGCGCAGCTGGCCCCGCTGAGAGGGGGAGGAGGCGGGCCTGACGGATGGTGGCTGGCTCCCGTCTTGTTAATTGCATGGGACCGGGCCTTCCGCGTGTGACAGGCTAAAGAGGCTTCTGAGGTCTGCCTTAACCCGTCTGAAAGGTACCTATCAAAACCTAGAAGAAACTTAGCTTATTCTTGAGTCTTTTTACCTCAGCGTAACCATTAGAAAGCATTCAGACATTCTACTGCAGGACAAACAGCAGCCTATCCCATCCCCCTTGGCAAATCTTCAGATACAAGATCAGGACAGCCCAAATGACCACCCCATCTCTGGTCAAGGAATTTGTGAATTGCAAATGTCTAACGAGTCTCTTTGCAGGAACCACCCCCGCCCCCAGGGCTAACCTATAGGACACAAAGAAGCCCCACCATGGCAGCAATCATGTGACTAACCCACCCATCTGCTTGCTGTCCATCACCTGGCAACATGAGTACCTGCGCTTGCCTGCCCCTTGGTGATGACGTGGAAGCAGACCGCCACCCAATCACCCTAATGATCCTCCCCTGTCTAGGGAAATGGTTAAAAGGACTCAACCACAAGCAACCGGGGGCCATTGACTTGCTAGAGTCTGGTGTGGCCATGTGCTCTTTGAGCCATGGCTGTCGCCATGCTTCCTGGCTTTGGTCCCCCTCCCCCACCTT